AACTCTCTGCTAACAGTGACCAAGACTCTGCAGTGATTCCGGAATCGGAACTAATCGCTTGCCTTGAAGACAATCTGTCACATTGAGTAGCTGGACGAGAAGGCCGAGACAGGATTGAATTCATATAGCAATGACTGAAGAATGAAAGCCAGAGCTCAAGTGTGCTTATTTAACAGAAGCTGTGATATGAACTCTCTGCTAACAGTGACCAAGACTCTGCAGTGATTCCGGGATCGGAACTAATCGCTTGCCTTGAAGACAGCTGGAGGAGGATGTGAGAGGATTGAATTCACGTGCCTACCTAGCAAGGGTGTTGTGTGTGTTTTACTCCCTCTTCACAACCTTCTAACAACCTAGAGAGCCCTACAAAGAACGACACAGAGTCAACCCGGAGGACCTAGAGATCCCAAGATAAGTCAACACAGAGGCATCAGGACGGGACTCACATTGCAGCTGGAGATCTTTCCGTCTCCTCCGGCGCAGACCATGTTGTCCTTGACGGTGCTGCCCCACCAGCTGGACTGCGTGCAAGTGGCGTGGCCCACCACCAAGAGGCGGCCCTGCTGCAGGATGTCCGGCAAGGCGCCGTTCGCTGCAAGAACCCAAAGCCGTCAAGAGTTGAGAGCCCACCACCCATGCCTCCCGACCGAGACCCCTCAAGGCTCCGGGGATCGAGGAGACTCACTCTGCAGCCGGCCCCATCCGGTCACGTAGCAGACCGTGTTTTGAGCCAAAATGCTGTTGGCTTTTGGGAGGCAGGCCGGCTGGATCTTGTCGCTCAGAGTGACCGCTTTGGAGAGCTTGATGAGGGCGATATCATTCCTGTTTGGGAGAGAGAAGGCTCGTTGGATAGGTGGATATATAGGCACGGAGAAAAAAATGCTAGTCTATTTACCCATCCGTCCGTCCATCCGATTACCTACGAGTGTATCTATCTGTCTATCCATCCACCGACCTCCCGATCTATCAATCCATCCATCCACTGACCTATCTGCCTGCCTGCCTGCC